GGAATGTGCAGTTTTGTCTCACAGCAAAATGCCACAGATGCCACAAGCAATGAGGGAGCGTGCAATTGGCATGCTGACAGCAGGAATGTCAACCAGATCTGTCGCCCGTGCATTGAATGTTCATTTCTCAACCATAAGCCGTCTCCACAGGCGTTTCAGAGAATATGGCAGCACATCCAACCGGCCTCACAACCGCAGACCTCGTGTAACCACACCAGCCCAGGACCTCCACATCCAGCAGGTTCACCTCCAAGATCGTCTGAGACCAGCCACCCAGACAGCTGCTGGAACAATTGGTTTGCACAACCAAACAATTTCTGCACAAACTGTCAGAAACCGTCTCAGGGACGCTCAACTGCATGCCCGTCGTCCTCATCGGGGTCTTGACCTGACTCCAGCTCGTCGCCGTAACAGACTTGTGTGGGCAAATGCTCACATCCGATGGCGTCTGGCACGTTGGAGAGGTGTGCGCTTCACGGATGAATCATGGTTCACATTGTTCAGGGCAGATGGCAGCTGAGAATGTCCCAGTTCTTGCATGGCCAGCATACTCACCGGACATGTCACCCATTGAGCATGTTCAGGATGTGCTTGACCGGCGTATACGACAGCGTGTACCAGTTCCCACGAATATCCAACAACCTCGCACAGCCACTGAAGTGGAGTGGACCAACATTCCACAGGCCACAATTGACAATCTGATGGACTCCATGCGACGATGTGTTGCACTGCATGAGGCAAATGGTGGTCACACCAGATACTGACCGGTTCTGGGTCCCCAGACCCCCAATAGCACAAAGAACTGCACATTCCAGGGTGGCCTTTTGTTGTGGGCAGTCTGAGGTACACCTGTGCACTACTCATGATGTCAGATCAGCATCCTGATGTGGCACACCTGTGAGGTGGGATGGATTATCTCAATATGGCAGATGTGCCCACTACCACACATTTGGACTGATTTGTGACCACTGTTTGGGAGGGATGGTTATATTGTGTATCTGGAATGAATTTTAGGTCTCTACGTCCATCCCATGGGGAATGGGAGCAGTAACAAAGGTGTTGCGTTTATATTTTTGTTCAGTGTATATTGCATGGTTTTATCCTCATATTTATATTGTGTATTTTAGTGTAGTTGCACAATATTCTTTTAATCCACTGTGGACTAAGCGGACAGTTGTAGGCACCTGTGAGGTGGGGGCGTTCCCCGAGGCGGTCTATCAGCTGCCAAACTGACCTGTTAAGGAGGATAGTGAGCGCAGAGACGGGAAAGGTGAGCAGGAGGAGAAGAAACGGGGGAATTTTAGCATATGGGAAACATTTGTTTAGCCTTTGTTTTGATAGTATATAGTTATCTCTGCCAGCAGGGTTTTTTTTAGCGTATTGAGAACACTCTTTTATTGTATAGGGGGATTTTAAACTGTATTTGTAATTCTGGCTGTGTTTGTTTCCATGGAAATAAATGGTGTGTTTAAGGCCAACTTAATCTCTGTGCCCTGAGCGCTGACCCACTCACTCCCCTTCCTCTTGTATGTGAACAGACTTTGTGAAGATTTAGATCCACACATGCATTTATTACTTCCAGGCTGGACGACTGTAATTCATTATTATCAGGAAGTCCTAAAAACTCACTGAAAAGCCTTCAGCTGATCCAAAATGCTGCAGCATGAGTCCTGACAGGGACTAGAAAGAGAGAGCAGATTTCTCCTGTTTTGGCTTCCTGTTAAATCCAGAATTCAAAATCCTGCTCCTCACATACAAGGTCTTAAATAATCAGGCCCCATCTTATCTTAATGTCCTTGTAGTACCATATCACCCTATTAGAGCACTTCGCTCTCGCTCTGCAGGCCTACTTGTTGTTCCTAGAGTATTTAAAAGTAGAATGGGAGGCAGAGCCTTCAGTTTTCAGGCCCCTCTTCTGTGGAACCAGCTTCCAGTTTGGATTCAGGAGACAGACACTATCTCTACTTTCAAGATTAGGCTTCAAACTTTCCTTTTTGCTAAAGCATATAGTTAGGGCTGGACCAGGTGATCCTGAATCCTCCCTTAGTTATGCTGCAATAGACGTAGGCTGCTGGGGATTCCCATGATGCATTGAGTTTTTCCTTTCCAGTCACCTTTCTCACTCACTATGTATTAACAGACCTCTCTGCATTGAATCATATCTGTTATTAACCTCTGTCTCTCTTCCACAGCATGTCTTTATCCTGCCTTCCTTCTCTCACCCCAACCGGTCGCAGCAGATGGCCCCGCCCCTCCCTGAGCCTGGTTCTGCTGGAGGTTTCTTCCTGTTAAAAGGGAGTTTTTCCTTCCCACTGTCGCCAAAGTGCTGCTCATAGGGGGTCATATGATTGTTGGGTTTCTCTGTATCTATGAAGCGCCTTGAGGCGACTGTTGTTGTGATTTGGTGCTATATAAATACAATTAAATTGAACTGTCAGAGGCCATAAGAAGATCATTTGTAACCTTCACTAAAGCTGTTTCTGTGCTGTGCTCTGAAACTTGACTGAAACTCTTCAAATAAACCATTCCTCTGCAGATGATCTGTTAGCTGTCACAGACGGGACAGACATGGCTGGTGGTAGGAAAGGAAGAAAGATGAAGGAAAAGAAAAACAGACAGGAAGGAGGACCGTGAGAAAGGGCACTTAAAAAGAAAAAAAAATTTAAGGTGAGGAGAGATAGGCCTCCAAACTTTGGACGGCCTGAGATGTTCCCAGAGAGGTGGAGAGGTGAGTTATATTCTTAAACTTAGTTACAGCACTTTCAGAAAGACATCTACTGTGATAAAGTCTACTCTCCACCGCTGTGTAATCAATTATTGTAAATGTGAATGTTATCAGGAAATGATCAGACAGGAGAGGGTTTTCAGGAAACACTGTTAAATGTTCAGTTTCTATGCCATATGTTAAAACAAGATCTAGAGTGTGATTAAAGTGGTGGGTGGGTTCTTTTACATTTTGAGAGAAACCAATTGAGTCTAATAACAGATTAAATGCCATGTTGAGGCTGTCATTTTTAGCATCTACATGGATGTTAAAATCACCCACAATAATTATTTTATCTGAGCTCAGAACTAAATTAGATATAAAGTCTGAGAAATCAGACAGAAACTCTGTGTAAGGCCCAGGTGGACGATAGATGATAACAAGTAAGACTGGTTTCTGAGTTTCACAGCTGGGGTGGACGAGGCGAAGCATCAGGCTTTCAAATGAATTTAAAGGCTTACACTTTCTTATTCTTATATTTTTTATTACAGAAAAAATAGAAACAAACAAGTGAAATTTTTATTTTTAAATGGGGAAAAAAGAGTAAACAGAATAACTTTTTTAAAAGAAAGAACACAAACTCTGAAAGAACTTTTCTACACAATCTTCACATATACGATGCTTTACAATCCCATTATTATTAGCAGGAAACGCCCACACAATGGAAGACATTTCAGGATTACAAGATGAATTTGAGTCTTACAGCAAATATTTCACTCATTCATCCACAGACAGTTTCATTATGTGGACTGAACCTTTTACTGTAACGTTCACACTTAAAATCTAGAATATAATTAAAGCATCTTATCCAGTAAAGTAATCCTAGCTCGTGCTGAATAAAAGTAGAAATTACCTTGGAAGCAGAGCTTTTCAAATTAAGAGCTTACATGTAAATGCAAGAAAATACTGAAACAACATTTTCCAGATTTCTGCCCTAAAGTTCCCACAGAAAAAGTTTCTCTATTTTCAAACAAAGTTTCACTGCAAATGAATATTTAAGGCACAATAAAACATTAAATGTATTTACACAGACAGACTTTAGCTTTTGTAATCATCTAGAGCAGGGGTGTCAAACTCAAACACACAGTGGGCCAAAATTCAAAACTGGAACAAAGTCGCGGGCTAACGCTAATATTTATTGAAATATATTTATTCCTCCAGATATAAGAATGAATCTTTTCTTATGGACTCAAACACGTTTTGCTGAAAAACTGAATATGGAACAAGCAAAGCTTAATATTAAACAATATATATATTAGCTGTATAATACCAGTAGGCCAGCTCTGATAGTCATTTGGTATGGCTTCGCGGGCCAAATGTAATTAGGCTGCGGGCCAAATTTGGCCCGCGGGCCAGAGTTTGACACCTATGATCTAGAAGTTCACTCAATTTGGCCAAAAACTCATAAAAGCCATAATAAAAAAAGAAGATTAATCAGTAGATTTGTCCACGCCCCCATTACACTGATCACACCAGAGTATCTAAAATCATTTAATTCTCATGAGCGCCTGAGGTCTCGCTGTTTGTAAAGGTCTGATTCGTTAAGCCAACTTACAGTGAAAGGGTTAAAGCACCAACCTTCACATTACATTTATGCTTTGTTTTTGTATCCAACCATTTTATTCACTTCTAAATATGATGATATTTTAATTATATTTCTCCTACATAAAAACATTATATGCACTAACAGACGTCACACTCTACAACATTTTCTTCCACCTGTCTGGAGACGTTTCCTGCAGAGGCTCCGCCCACTTTATCAGATGCAGACTTTAGCGTCTGCTTTGTGTCCAATCTGTATGAAACTACAACAGGCTGAAGTTTGTGTCTCTTATTTCATTCTCACAGGTGCATAAACCAGTGACAATGTTTCAAATATCGATACAAACATGTTTTCAGATTTATGATTTACTCTAAAAGTTTTAAACTTCATTTGGTTTCCTGTAGTTTCTTAAGCTGGATCAAGTTTTTTTGTATGTGTCGGGCTGTGAGATGAAAAGCTACAGCCGGCTGTGTGGGTACACCAACCATGTGTGAAAAATGGTCCATAAAGTAATGCTACAAAGCGTGTTCATGCAAACATTGTTGGGTCTGCCGTGGTACAATGGGACTTCTGCTTATGAACCTCTGTGCACAGCGTCTGCAAATCGGGGCTGTACGAAGTCACCTCATCTTTACACAAAACTGTAAGCTGTCATCTGTGAGGCGCGAGCGGTGTTTGTTTTTACCGTAGTTCATGGTGGAGAATGGCTGCTCTGCTGAGTTTTGCTCTCTGTAGCCGTTTGAATGGCAAACTACACTCATTGGCAGCAGCATAGGCACACTTAAAATTTCTTCTGAAGTTTTCACTTTCTAGTTAGTACAATAATTCCAAATGTCATAATCATCACGTTCATTAATGTAACAACTTATTGATCCAGCTTTACAAGACCAATATCGGGCTGGTGCATCCCTCTCCATATGTCAACTTTCTAATATCCTAAATTAACTCATTGTGAATCTGTAAAGCACATCCGAGATGCTTACGAGAGATCAGTCACAGACACCAGAGTCAGAGCTATCGTAATCACTGTCTTGGTCAATGGACACTGTGAAAGGAAAAAAAGCACAATATTCAGCTGCAACATGAGTTTAAAATCAGTCAAACCAGAGTACAAAATTATGTGACTTTACACACAAAAAATATTACACATTGATACAACACGTTAGCTGAGAAAGACTTACTGTTGCTGCCTCTGAGAGGTTTGTCTTCATCAGCCTCTTCATCAGCCTCCTCATCATAGTCAGTCTCCCCTCCTAGAAACACACACACACACAAAATGTTAACGTTCATCGTTTGCTGTATGTGCTGCTACACTTCCTGTAAAGGCGACAAACAGTTTGAGCTGAATGAAGCAAAACACCAAACTTAAGCCACAAACTCATGTGATGTTAGTGATAATTTGTGTACTGCAATTCACTCAATTTGTCCCAAACCTCATCAAGGCCTTATTAACAAAGAATCAACTACTGTCACCCCATTACAATGATCACACCTGTGTACCTTAAATCCTCATAAGCTGTCCTGTAATCTCACAGTTTGTAACACTCATGTAATTTACTGTCTATAAATTTTATTTATGATGTATTTTGATTCTATGAAAATGTATGTTTTTTTAATTTATTTTTTTCTCTTTTTATTAAACAACCTATATAAACACAAATAATCCAAAATAAACATATAAACAAGAACAGACGTACATAAAAAAATAAAAAACAGACGGGTGTACCCTCTGGTGTGTATGTACTCGCACACACATATTCACTCACACACCCATATTCTTAGGCATACATACACATACCTACTTGAATGAATTGAATTGAATGAATGCTTTATTGGCCATATGCAGGTTGCCCCACAGAGGAATAGGACCCCCCCCCCCCCCGACTTACACACACTTACATATGTGTTCACTTATAGTCTCATACATACTAACATATACATATAAACACATAACGATTCAAAAATGTGGCATACATAGTTACAGAGATTCAAACAAGATCGGTCTCCTTAACCGGATGTAGTGTTTCCATTTACCCCAAATTTCACTAAATATATCAAACTGGAGTCTTTTAATGAAGGTAATTCTTTCCATTTTAAACATCCCATATACACTCTCATGCCAATCACCCAGTGATGGAATTTTCGCACTAAGCCATTTCTTGGTAATAGTTTTACGGGCAGCCAAACTCAGGATACCATACAACGGCTTAGACATTTTATCTACATTTACTGAGTATAAATATCCAAACAAAAGTTCGTCCCAGTTAAAGGGAAGCTGCATACCAAAAATAATCTGCAACTCGGTGTGGATCAATACCCAAAAAATGTTGATCCTTGGGCAAGACCAGAACAGATGGAAATGTTTTACTCCTTTTGCCCCACAATTTATCCAGCAATTAGAGTGATTAAAATAATGTTTACTTTGTGCAGGGGTAATAAAAAACCTACAGATACTCTTCCAACCATAACATCTCCATGTATTAGAACTAGAAATTCTCCACTGAAAAGCGCACTGCTCATACCAAATGTCTGATATTGCTATATTTGTTTCACTTTTACATTTTTTTTTGATGTAGGTAGTATTCCACCTCTTAACCTCTTGTATACCCTTGTACAATCTTGAAATCACCTTAAGGCCTGTGTCAGCCTGATAAGCCTTGACAAATATACTCAGAACAGGTAAAGAAAAAAGATCTGTTCTCTTAGGTATAAAATTATATAGATGATGCCTAATTTGTAAGAACCTAAAAAAGTCAGTTTTGCTTAACTGGTATTGATCTTTTATTGATTGGAAGTCCCTAAGAATTCCCTTATCGTAAAACATACAATATGCCGTTGAAAATGTATGTTTTATTGTAAAAAGTATGCATTGTGATTGTAAGCCCAACAAGGAACAATGGTTGAGATTAGCAATAGCTATAAACTTATGTGCATCAGTTTCATGTTTTTTACTTGGAATATGTTAAACTGCACTGTCCCTTTTAAATACATTTAAAAAAAACCTCAAAGCACTTAATATGCTACATTCACACAAACACTTTCTATGACTTGAGTGCTCTATTAAAATAAAACAAACAAAAAAAAGTGCTCACTAACACAACTTGGGGTTAGTATGTCAAGGATATTGGCATGCAGACTGGAGGGAGCAAGGGATTCAACCACCAACCTTCCACTCAGTAGATGACCTGCTCTACCTCCTGAGCTACCGTGACATTAACAAACTGTGAATCTGTGAAGTGCATAAACCAGAAGTACTTACCAGAGTCAGTGTCTTGGTCAATGTGCTCTGCGAAGGGTAAAAAAACAAAGTATTCAGCTGCAACATGAGTTTAAAATCAGTCAAACCAGAGTACAAAATTATGTGACTTTACACACAAAAATATTACACATTTATAAAACAACACGTTAGCTGAGAAAGACTTACTGTTGCTGCCTCTGAGAGATTTGTCTTCATCAGCCTCCTCATCATCGTCAGCATCACATCCTATAAATAGACACACAAAATGTTAAAGCTCGTCCTTTGCTGTAGGTGCTGCCACACTTCCTGTAAAGATGACATATATTTTGAGCTGAATGAAGCAAAACAGCAAACTTTAGCCACACACTGATGTGATGTAGTGATTGTTGCTTATTGATCTGTTTCCAAATGGTTATGGTGCTGTCATGTAGTTAAGAGTGGAAGAGTATACACTAGGTTATATTTGTAGTCATTAATATTAACTTGGTAATTCCCCAGTGTTCCTGAACATCTCACAAAGACTGAAGGAAATGACTCGACTATCCTAAAAACCTTTTTGTTCCCCACAAAAAAGGTAATCTCTCACACACACACAGGTTATTTAAGGACAAACTGCTCCACATGTGAGGAAACATATGAAGCTGATCTGTTTCTGTTTATTCTTTTATTTATGAACTGCAGGTTAAAATTAGCTTTAGTCTCCTAAGACCCGAACCCACAGCAGCATTTATAATTTCTCTTTGATATTTGGGCTGATTGGGACCCGATGAATGTAAAAACAAAGAATTACCAGATTTTTTTTTACCTTATTTTTGTTTTTAAGAAAAATCAGAGCCACATATGAGGATATTCATTTAAAATTTTGATAGAACAGTAGCAGCATAATGTCCTTGTCAGTGGATATCAGGCCCATGTAGAGCAAAATTGGGTATTTTGGTCTAAATAACCCAAAATGTGATGTCCACATATGTGGACGCAGGTCCTAGGAGGTTAAGGTTTTCAGCACTGCTGCTGTATAAATATTATTACCACATCAAATAATAAGAGCTTATGTGTTAAAACTTAAATTAAAAGATAACGTTTACCAAAAACCAGAGCAGAAAAATAAAGTGTTTACCTGGTGTAGTGGTGTAAACAGCCAGAAGTAAAGCTGTAAACACACACAAAAGACCAAATGACATTTATTCAGTCAGTGCTTCATGTTTGATTCTTTTGATCTGTTGATTTTAACAGAGTTAAGTTAAAGAGCAGTGACTCCACAGAGAAACTGAAAGTCAAAAGTACGTCTGAGTTTTTCTTCTGTTTGTTTCATAAAGTGAAACTGAGCAGCTGTCACAGAGAGGAACCTCTGTCCTCTGCACACACCTGACAGCAGCCATGTTTCACCTGTCGGGCTGAGGTGTGAACCACTGCAGGGTGGAGCCAAAGCTCACAGCTGGCTGTGTGGAGCCCAGCTGTTGTAAAGGAAGGAGCTCAGCAGCAGCAGACTGAGCTGCACAAACAGAGGAGAGAGCAGGAACCAAAGATCTGCTGTGCTGCTCATTTAAAGGAGTCGCTCTTAAAGACCTCACTACGCTTTATTTCAAACTTCACCACTAGTTGGCAGTGTTTCACAGGAAGTGTCAGGAGCAGTTCCTCCAGTATGGAAGCAGTAGATGCAGTATTTGGGATGTGAGCAGGTGCTGTGGTGGTTTCACTGAGCAGGAAGGTTGTGGGTTCAAACTCAGCTGGAGCCTCTCTGTGGGTTTGTGTTCTCCCACAGGTTAAACATGCGCTCGTTACATGAACTGCTGACCTACACTGACCACAGGGACCAACATGAGAGCAGAGCTCTCTGAAGGGACCTGAGTCACAGACTGTCTGTGATCCTGCAGGGACCAAACTATGGGCTCAAAATGTGGTCATAAATATTTTGTACTTGTAAAAAAGATTTGTATGTGTAAAAAAGATTTGTGTGTGGACTTAGAAAAAAAAAAAAAACCCAAGTTACAAGTACGGATTTTGACCCTATTTTTCTTCCTTTCATCTGATTGGTCAATGTCATGTCAATCACAAATGTAACAATCCAATCAGAGAACAGATGGGTTTAGCTGTCGGAGGGGCGCTTTTTTGAACTGCAGGTCCTTGAAGGGTGATACAGTTTGAAGCTGGAGGTAGTGATGTGCGATACCACTGATTTCCTTTCCGATACCAAGTAATATTCAGGGTGGTATCGACGATACTGATCCGATACCGATACTTTGTACAAAACGGATTTTATTTATTGTATCTCAAATTATAGCGTCATAATGATTACAGGACATCAGAATACCTTCTTCTTATCACTTAATAATGCAGAGTTCATCATATAGAAATAAAAAAACTAAAGTTGTGTGCTATTTGAACACCTTGCCTGCCTGGAGGACTAAAGGACTCCGTGAGAGACTCTCACCCTAGCAGCACCTGTCCCTCTCCTCCTCTTCAGTTCGCCTCAACATACGCTCGTCATATTTTGTGATATGATTTACTCTGAGGTGTTTGACAGGGTTAGTGATGTTGCCACAACCATACATGCCAACCCTCCCGATTTTTCCGGGAGAATCCCACCTTTCTCCAGATTTTCCACCCGGACAACAAAGTTGAAAAACCATATCGCAGAATTCATAGCGCGGCCCAGCCAATTCCAGTTTCCAACAATGACAGCAGCGACTTAGTTTTAATATCACTCTTATTTCTCTTTCTGGGTCGCAAAAAAACTTTTAACATATTTTCAGGTGAGAATGTAGCTGTGTAAACTTCAAATATCTGAGCCGACCGACACATCGTCTTCAAACCCCCGCGGTCTTTCACCACTCGGGTTAAACATGATGTACAAGTCACTTTGATAACTTAAAAATGTTCTTGTTTGGCTTTTTCAGTGTTTTATTTGTTCGTGAGTAAATTGGTTTGGCTGAGATTAAAGTTATTAGATTAGATTAAATTAAATTAAACTTTATTATTCCCTCGGGTGGGTTCCTCCGGGGTTTTCACACAGCTGAATAAACGTCAAACAGAAAACTGATTAAACAGAAGAGTTTACGTCAGTGTCCGGTTATATTTTAGACAGCAAGGAGCAGACGGCAGAGTTTCACTCCACCGAGGGAGCTCGTGACGTACTACCCGGCTTTCTTTAGACCGCGAAGGCCGGTCCTCAGGTGGAAGCAGCCTCTGAATTTGGACACCCCTGCTGTTTCCGGGCCGGCCAATAATAACGGTGACATTTAACGTATTTTATCCGATAAATAAACCCTGTAAAATATATTTATCCGCCCAAACAGCCCTTTTGAATGTCTCCCTAATTCTGAGGTCTCAAGGTTGGCAAGTATGGCCACAACACCTCACTTTTTTTGCCACATTTATTGCAAACCACGGCTCAGCTGTTTGTGGAGGTAAAATACATCCGCAAAATTACGCTCAGCCATTGTTGTGAGTGCGCGCGCCAAGGGGCTGCGAGATATTTATACAGCCGTATTTCACACAAGACTATGAAAGGCGGAAGAGGAAGTAGTTCCTTTGAATGTAGACAATCCGAATGTTATAGTTTCTTTCCACTGTGTTCCTGTTAATGATAAACTACAAATTTACTCTAAATTACTAAAATATCGATATTTTAATGTGAGAATCGATTCTAGAACATAAATGATTGGTATCGGAGGAATCGATATTTCAGGATCGATCCGCACATCACTAGCTGGAGGATCGCTATATAAATATCCGATAGCAGCTAGGTCCCCTAACTTTCAGTAGCTGTTGAAAGGATAAAGTTGTGGTATGTTAGTGGTTAGAAATACCATTATTACTTTAGGATTAGTTTAACACAAAGTCAGGGCTGACCCAGGACCATTGCTGTGAGTCACAGTGCGCAGCATAAAAGTCCTTTCACATCGGACGCAGGATGTGCTGCTAATGCTAACTAAAAGCAAAGGATCCAGAATTTGTTGCTGGCTGCTGGGCTCTGTGGGTTTTTGCAGCAGTTCTACCTGCACTAGATGCACCTGCTCCTTGTCGTTTCTATCTCTGACTTTATGTCCTCTACAAGAGGTTTTTTTGCTGGTTCTTCAAATGTTCAATAAAAACATGTATGCTAATTCATGACGAAGAAAGCTTTGTAATTAAGATTGTCATTTCCAAAACACTGCCCGCCCCCACCCCGCGGTCCGCAGCGCTGTTGAAAAGGCTGTGGAAGTCCCTGTATTAAACATGTAGACCTGTGACACAAAAATCACCAAACTCGGACGACCACAGACTGTTTTCCTTCGTGGGTTGGCATGTAAAAGGGCATTTATTCCCTTCAAAGACCTGCAGTTCAAAAAAAGCGCCCCTCGACAGCCAAACCCCTCTGTTCTCTGATTGGATTGTTACATTTGTGATTGACATGACATTGACCAATCAGATGAAAGGAAGAAAAATAGGGTCAAAATCCGTAAGTGTAACTTGCAGGGTTTTTTTTTTCTAAGTCCACACACAAATCTTTTTTACGCACACACAAATCTTTTTTACGCACACACAAATCTTTTTTACACACACAAATCTTTTTTACACACACAAATCTTTTTTACGCACATACAAATCTTTTTTACACACACACAAATCTTTTTTACGCACACACAAATCTTTTTTACGCACACACAAATCTTTTTTACGCACACACAAATCTTTTTTACGCACACACAAATCTTTTTTACACACACACAAATCTTTTTTACACACACACAAATCTTTTTTACACACACACAAATCTTTTTTACACACACACAAATCTTTTTTACACACACACAAATCTTTTTTACGCACACACAAATCTTTTTTACGCACACACAAATCTTTTTACACACACACAAATCTTTTTTACACACACACAAATCTTTTTTACGCATACACTAATCTTTTTTACACACACACAAATCTTTTTTACGCACACACAAATCTTTTTTACACACACACAAATCTTTTTTACACACACACAAATCTTTTTTACGCACATACAAATCTTTTTTACACACACAAATCTTTTTTACGCACATACAAATCTTTTTTACACACACACAAATCTTTTTTACGCACACACAAATCTTTTTTACGCACACACAAATCTTTTTTACACACACACAAATCTTTTTTACACACACACAAATCTTTTTTACGCACACACAAATCTTTTTTACAAGTACAAAATATTTATGACCACATTTTGAGCCCATACCAAACTGACAGACAGCTGCTGTCCTGT